GTGTGTGTGTGTGTGTGTGTGTGTGTGTGTGTGTGTGTGTGTTGCTAGAACAATAAGACAGGAGAAGGAAATTAAAGGGAGTACTAATTGGAAAAGAAGAGGTCAAACTATCCCTTTCTAGAGATGATATGATACTCTACCTAAGAGATTCCAAAAGTTCCACCAAAACCTCCTAGAACTGACCAACACTTTCAGTGTAACCTTTCTATATACCAATAACAAGCAATTGGAGAAAGAGTACAAAGAAATGCTCCCATTCATAATTGCTGCAAAAATAAAAAATAAAATATCTTGGAATAAACCTGACCAAAGACATTAAAGATCTCTACAATAAAAATTTTAAATCTTTAAAGAAAGTGATTGAGGACATCAGAAGATGGAAGGACCTCCCATGCTCATGGATGGGAAGAAGTAATATTGTGAAAATGACCATCTTCCCAAAAGTAATATATAGATTCAATGCAATCCCAATCAAAAGCTCCATGATATACTTCACAGAATTGGGGAAAAAATCCTTAAATTCATATGGAGGTACAAAAGACCCCAGAGAGCCAAAGCAACCCTGAGCACAAAAAGCAATGCTGGGAAGGTGACTATACCAGATCTCAAAGTGTACTACAGAGCTATAATCATAAAAACAGCATGGTACTGGCACAAAAGTAGACACATAGATGAATGGAACATCATTGAAAACCCAAACCCAAGTACATGCAATTTCAGCCACCTGATATTTGACAAAGGTGCCAAGAACACACAATGGAAGAAAGATAGCATCTTCAACAAATGGTGCTGGCAAAAGTGGATCTCCACCTGTAGAAGACTAAAACTAGAACCTTATCATTCACCTTGCACAAAAGTCAACTCCAAATGGATCAAAGACCTCAATGTGAAACTGGAAATGCTGAAACTTAGAAGAAAATATTGGCAGTAACTTACAAGATACAGATGTAGGAAAGGATTTTCTAAATCAGACAGCAGTTGCTCTAAGGTCAGCAATCAATAACTGGGACCTCATTAAACTAAAAAGCTTCTGTACAGCAAAAGAAACAGTTAAAATGGGAAGAAAAAATCCACAGAATGGGAAAAAATCTTCACCAGTGACACATCTGACAGAGGTTTAATATCCAGAATATATAAAAAACAAAAAACAAAGAATTGAGAAGCCAAATGACCCAATTAAAAGATGGGCTAAAGAGCTAAACAGAGAGTTCTCAAAGGAAGAAATAAAGATGGCTAATAAACATCTCAAAGAGTGTTCAGCATCGTTAGTAATTAGGGAAATGCAAATTAAAACCACCCTAAGGTATCACCTTACCCCAAGGATCAAGAGAACAAGTGATACCAAATGCTGGAAAGGATGCAGAGAAAGGAGAACCTAACTCACTGCTGGTGGGATTACAAACTTGTACAACCCCTATGGAAAACAGTGTGGAGACCTCTTAAAAAACTAAAAATGACCCTCATTTCCTTCCCTCTGCTTCCCTGGGCCTGCACTACCAGTAACCTCTCTTCAAGTAAGTTGATATCACCCTCAGTGCCTTGACTCCCCCAGCCTCATTCACTCACCCATCTCCCCCTCTTGTCTCTCCTCCTAGCCTGGGTCTGGTCCCATTCCTTGTCTTGGGGCCCCAGACACCTGGGAACCACCACTGCTTCCTGATCCTTTGCTTCCAGACCAACCCACTTCCTTCTTCAGGTACCAAGGAACACTCTGGGCGTGGTCCCACCCTCATCTCTCTCTGCTTCCCTGGCTGCACAGCCTGCCAGACTCTTTCCTGGATCCCCGAGCTGACCTCTCCCTGGACTGGGCCACCACTGCTTCCCTTGCATCCAGGAAGACCCAGTTCTTTCTCCAGGTCCCCAGGAGATGCCTGGGCCTGGTCCCGCCTTCACCTCCCTCTGCTTTCCTGGGATGCACAACCCACAGCATTTTTCCTGGACCCTGGGGCTGACTTTTGGCTTCCTGAACCTTTGCATCCAGACCAACCCAGTTCCTCAGTGCAGTCCCCAGGAGCCCTTGGGGCATCTTCCCGCCCCCATCTCCCTTTGCATCTATGAGTGTCACAGCCACCAGCTGCCCTAGACCAGCATCTTTCCTGGGCCCTGCTCCCAGGCCAGTCCAACCCCCAAATTCCTGAGGCCAAAATCTTTCCTGGAGGGATCCAGACC